AGAAAAAAGAGTGCATCCCTAGTTTTGACCATCGGCACTTTGATAGTGCGCGGCGTCTTGTTGTCGGCGTCATCAAAAGTCGGATACTGACCTGTCAAAGAAATTGTGCAGCTATTCGAAAGTACAAGGTCAAGATACACGTGCCGGTGGCTACTATTGATATCGCATACAATCGTCGCCGCCGCGCCACACGCACTACATTTCACACTGTTTGATTGCCGCCACAGAGTACATGTTTCAAATAATAAGTTTCCGGGTGCTCAGAATGGACACGAATACATTATCCTGATCTCGCAAGAAATATTGTAATTAGATAATAGGTAGGTATCATAATAATTTATTCTAGTAAGTAATTATTATAAAATTAACTATATGGATTTATAATAATTACTTACTATTATTGTTATTATTATTACCTAAAAGATAAACATGTTCAGTAAGTTCACTGCAAATCTCGACTTTTTCAAGTGTGTGTTTTTAAAACAAAGTGCTCGAATATGTCGTCACACATTTGATAAATATGGTTGACACCATAGCACTTTTAAAACACTTGAAATGTGTAAAAATGGATCTGGATCATGTCTTCAAGGCTTAGTTATTAAGGAGTTGGAGGGGTACCTAGGTAAACCCAGAGCCGTCATCTCGGAAGACATTTTAGACTGTTGGAGGGCGCATGAGACAAAATATCCGATTTTATCGAAGACGGCCCGTGATTTTCTTTTAATACCTGCAACTTCAGTACCTGCTGAGAGATTATTTTCTAAAGCATCATTAGTAATTAGAAAACATAGAAATAGGTTAAGTGATGAGTCAGCCAGATGGTTACTTTGTATTAATGCTTTGTCAAAAGAATAAATATAAAGTAACAGTAATGTCAAAGCTGTTATGTACATACTGTGAAGTAATTTAATTGGCATCGTATTTTATTTTTTATTTAAATAAATGGTATATTGTATAACTCTTTTATTCCATTTCATATATGGTGAGGGTTCATCAATCTCTTTCTAAAGAGATAATGTTATTTAAAATACAATGTAGTTTATTGCCATTAATTTGTTTTTATATGTATGTTTAACCATGTTTTAGCACATGTAAGCTTATTAAATGTAAACGTTTCTTAAGAAACTGACGCCCGTGGCCGTAGGACACGGTAGATAGCTCAGATGGTTAGAGCATCGGCACGGATCGCTTAGGTCGTGGGTTGAAACCCCACCCGGTGTCAGTTGATTTTTCGAATTTCTCATTACATGTTTAGACATTTATTAATATGGTTGGTCTTTACTATGGCTATGTTAATTCAAGCTCAATATGTACCTACTCTGTTAAGTTGTTCTAAGATCTAAAGTAGTTTAATAAATAGTAATAAGCTAATAGGTCATTTTTTTTTATAGGAACGGGTGACAAACGAGCACACAGTCCACCTGGTATGGTATGTGGTATGGTAAGTGGTTACTGTGACCCATAGACATCTACATCTATCCTCAATAAAGACTCAAGATGCAGATGCGTTGTCACCCGTGAGGACTAAGATGGAATGCCTCTTTGCCAGTAAAAAGGGTCTCCGGTTCTCTACACTCACCATACGAAACACAGCAGCGTTAAGCTGCTATTTTACGCTGGTTTTCTGTGAGAGCGTGGTCCTTCCCCGGTCGAGCCGACCCATTCGTGCTACAACCATAATATAGCTGCAGCATGGCTCTTGCTGCAAGACCAAGACCAAGACCAAGACTAGGGGCGCAATACCAAGACCAAGACCAAGACCAAGACCAGGTGTATTGGCGCAAGACCAAGACCAAGACTTGCTAAGTCTCGTCTTGTTCTTCCATTTGGGCAACACTAGAAGAACCAGCAAGAGCCTGGTCGCCTCTTAAGACAGGACGAAATACGATGATGGATGAATAAATGAATGACCGTTGTGAAATAAGGTTTTAGAAATATAACGGTTTTTCAACATACTTAGATAACAATTTGTATGTCCAAAAACACAAATCTTATAACTATGTGAGATCCAACCTAGGACCGACAATGTTTCAGATAGTTAGGGACTACAATATTTCTTAATTGAAAGAATATAGTTGAAAAAATATTGAGAGTTATTTTATGTATGAAAAGTACAACATGTCGTTCGAAAACGGGAATAGCCTTTTCACAATTTTCATCGTGAAAACCGCTTTGCTTTAGATTCAATCCAATCTGAATTGCAACTCTCAAATTTTCGAGTTTAAATGAATTAATATTGCTCTTAAAGCCGTAGACCGTGGTATATTAGGGGCTAAGCACTCGTAAATTTCACAGCACGCAATGAACGCACGTTCGATTCCTGATGGTAAGTGGTTGCTGTGGCCTATAGACATCTACATCTACCCTCGTTTGCGAATCAAAATGCAAATGTGTTGCACTTGCACAATACAATGCAAATGCACCCGTGAGGACTAAGTTGGAATGCCTCTTTTCCAATAAAAAGTGTCTCCGGTTCTCTACACTCACGAAACACGCTGGTATTCTGTGAGAGCGTGGTCCTTCCCCGGTCGAACCGACCCATTCCTGCCACAACTATACTACTAATATAGAGCTGCAACATGGCTCTACCACGTATAGTCCGATGTATTTAAACGGTAAAAGTTTGTTTATATATTAATTGTAGACACCCGATCATTCTCATTTTCTCTAACCAACGGATAATACTTACAATTAGTTGCTATTTTAGATTATATATCTTCATCATCATCATTATCATCATCATCATCATTACAGCCCTTCACAAGTCCACTGCTGAACATAGGCCACCCCCAAGAAATGCCACAAAGCATGGTCCTGAGCCACCTGCATCCATCGACTTCCTGCATATCTTACCAGGTCGTCACTCCATCTAGTGGAGGGACGCCCTACACTTCGTCCACCGGTACGAGACCGCCACTCGAGAACCTTTTTTCCCCATCGGTTGTCGGTTCTTCGAGCTATATGGGCCGGCCCATTGCCACTTCAGCTTACTAATCCGTTGGGATATGTCGTTCACTCTGGTTCTACTGCGGATATCCTCATTTCTAAGTTTATCACGCAGAGAAACTCCGAGCATAGCCCTCTCCATAGCTCGCTGAGCGACCTTGAGCTTCCTCATCCGGCCAGCAGTGAAGGACCACGTCTCGGTTCCATAGGTCATCACTGGCAACACGCACTGGTAGTACAGTCTCGTTTTCAAGTTTTGAGGTATACCTGACGAGAAGATGTGCCGTAATTTCCCGAACGCTGCCCAACCGAGTTGAATCCGCCGATTGACCTCTCGTTTGAAGTTGGACTTACCTTTTTTTTTTTTTTTACGGGGGGAAATCCTCATGGACTTCCTCCGCCTGGGGAAAGGCGGAGGGGCGTGCCGGACTCTTACCGGCTAAAACCACCCCGGTGTCCACGTGCGCGTGGGGCCGCGGGAATCTAAATTCTTCCGCAGCCCCACACTAGTGCTGGCCCGGTCCGTCCAGGCCTCGTCTCCTGCACGGGGTAGTGAGGTGTTAAACTACCCCGTGTATCGCCTCAGGGGCGCGCACCGACACCCGCGCGCGCCTCCGCCTCGGGTCCATCGAGTAGGGGTGGCGGGGGCTTCCCCAAGTCCCTCGCCCCTGGACCCATTTATGGGGGCCGGAAGAGGGCGTTGTCCGCCCTTCTCCTGCGCCCGGTGCGCCTTCTGCGGCCAGGGAAGGGAGTCGAGATCTCCCTTTCCCGTTCCGCAGTTTCCTTCTGCGACATCACGTCCTCGCAGAAGGACACCACTGCATCCCACGACTCTGCGCTACCGACCATCTTCTGCACTAAGGCCGGCAGCGACAGATCGCCTCCTACTTTATTTGTGAGGATACGGCGCTGCTCCTCCCAAGCTACACACTCGGCGAGCGTGTGTTGCGCCGTGTCCTCCCCGCAATGGACGCAGTGGTGGCACCGAGCGTCCGGCTCCCTGTCTATGCGGCGCAGGTACTTGCCGAAGCAGCCATGCCCCGACAGCACCTGCGTCACCCTAAACGACAGGGAGCCGTGCCTTCTCCCGAGCCAGTCGTCGAGTACTGGCCGGATCGCCTCGACGGTAGCGAGGCCGGCGGTAGGGCGCAGAAGCCTTTGCCGCCATTCCGCCACCAAGACCTGACGGAGCTCCTCTCGGCGCAGCGCGATCTGCCGCTGCACCGGCCTCGAGCCCCGTGCCCGCTCTTCCTCGCGCCATCAATATAATGACGCGAGTACTTTCGCCTCTAGGTCCCAGGGCGGGGATCCGGCCAACACGCAAGCCGCCTCGTAGGAAATCGTGCGATACCCGCGGGCGACTCTGACGGCCATCGCCCTCTGCGGTTTACGCAGAATGGCGAGAGTGCTGGCCGTCATGTCCATCGCCCACACAGGGGCCCCATACAGGGCCATGGACCGCACGATTCCCACGTACAACCGCCTACAGGCGGCGCTCGGGCCCCCTAAGTTGGGAAGCAACGTTGATAGCGCGCCCGCTGCACCCATCAGCTTGGGCGCCAGCCGCCGGAAGTGGGGTCCGAATTCCCATCGGCTGTCGAGCACCAATCCTAGATACTTCATGGTGGACTCGACAGCTATCCGGGCCCCGCTGACCACGATGTGTGAACCCGGCGGCGGCGCGCGTCGAGGGCCATGGAACACCATGGCCTCCGACTTATTTAGGGCCACCTCCAGGCCCAGGCGCCGGATGCGGTTCACCACTTGTGACACCGCAGCCGTGGCAACCAACGCTGCTTCCCTGTGTGAACTCCCCCGGGCAGTGACGAGCGTGTCGTCCGCATAACACGTCAAGTCGGCGCCCGACGGGAGTTCACCTCTCAGCACCCAGTCGTAGCCGATGTTCCACAGGAGCGGTCCCAAGACCGATCCCTGCGGAACACCGCACGACATGACGCGCCGACCAGCGCCGTCACGTCCCCAATAGGTAACGCATCTCTCCTCAAGGTAAGCCCCTATTGTGCGGCGGAGGTAGGGAGGCACGCGATGGTAATTCAGCGCCTCCCGAATACAACTCCAGGGTAGGGTGTTGAAGGCGTTGGAGAGGACAGCGCCAGCACCACCCCACCCCGGGATACTGTCTCCTCCGCCAGGGCCCTCACGCGCGTAATAGCGTCTATGGTGGAGCGCCCGCGACGAAAACCAAACTGGTTCTCGTCCAGGTCCGGCCCCTCTCTGCACAAGTGGCTGACCAGGCGATCTGCGATGATGCGCTCAAGAAATTTGCCCGCCTCGTCGAGCAGCACTATGGGCCGGTACGCGGACGGTGAGTCCGCGGGGCGCCCCTCCTTCCTGAGCAGGACCAGCCTCCCCTCCTTCCACACACTGGGAAACTGACCCTGCTCGAGACATGCCGTGAAGAGCCCTCTCAGCTGGGGCTCTAGCTCCTTCAGAGCCAGGACGAGAGCTCGACCAGGAACTCCGTCGGGTCCGGGCGCTGTGTTCTTAGCCCGGAGTCGCGACACGGCCGTTCTCGTCTCTGTTTGGGTCACCTCGGGGACATCGGTGCTCTCCTCTTCTGGAGAGTCTGTGGCTAAGGGCGAAGCCATCGCCGGGGGAACGTGTCCCACTCGCTCAGGGAAGAGAGCCGATACCACCGCCTCTAGCAACTGGGGCTGCATCGTTTGTGTTAGTGGAGGCGCCCAGGGACGCAACTTGCCCCGTACCCAACGGTAGGGGCGCCCCCACGGATCCCGATCTAGGGATCCCAGCAGCTCTTCCCTGGCACGCGACTTTGAGTCGCCGATGGCCAGCCACAGAGTCTCCTTAGACGCGCGGTACACCTCATACAGCGCGTCCTCCTCGGCGGGATCTCGTCGACGCCGCCTCCGGTATCGGGTGTACCGGCGACGAGCCGCAACGCACGCTATGCGCAATTGCGCGATCTCGGCGGTCCACCAGTACACCTGGCGCCTTGCGGACCGTTGGTGGACACGGGGCATGGACGCGTCGCAGATCTGCGTCATCGCCCCGCGAAACCATAGCGCCACCGCTTCGACGTCGACGGGGCCGTCCGTCGTCGACTCCCGAATCCAGGACTGGACTAGGGCAGCTTCTTCGAGTAGTTCCCTGTCGATGCGCTTAAGCGCCCAACGCGGGCCGTCGTTAATCGGGGTTGTTGGATGGCGGCCGCTCGCAGTCTGGGCAGAGACGTCGAACCGGATATACCGATGGTCCGACAGCGTCTCCACCTCTGCGGCGACACGCCAGTCGCGGACTCGGCTGGCGACAGAGGGGCTAGCAAACGAGACGTCCACTATCGACCCACCCCGCTGCCGCACGCACGTGTATTCCGAACCCCGATTCAGGACGACCAGACCAGTCGTCACCGTCCACTCTTCTAACACCTCGCCCCGAGGGTCAGTGACCGGAGATCCCCACGCCGATGACTTGGCGTTGAGATCCCCGAGCACCAGAACGGGACGAGGGTGATAGCGGCCTACGACGGCGCCCAACTCGACAAGGAAACCCTCAAAGTCGGCGAGACTCTTGTTGGGGGAGAAATACGCCCCTACAATAACGATGCCGCCCGAGACCGCAGCAACCCGATCGTCTCGCCAATAATGGCCACCAAACCGTCAGCGCATCCCAACCAGTTGTCACGGGCGGGAATGAAGTACGGTTCGGCGACCACAGCCACGTGAATCGACCACTCTGCCATGCTCTGGAGTAGGAGATCCTGAGCTCTGGCACAGTGGTTGATGTTGCCCTGGAGAAAATGGAGAGAATGGAATTGTGCCATTATTGACATTCCATCCCCTCGGCAACGGTCCTGGGCCGGGAGTCGGCCGCGGAGCTGCTAGCCTGCGAGTGCAGCGAGGTTAACCCGGCAAGCTTAGTGCTCCTCTTCTTTTCCTTTTTCTTTTTCTTGCTGGCAGGCGCCCCACAAGCCCTTCCGCCTACTCTGTGCTCCGCTGGCCTTCGGCCTGTGCGCCGCGGAGCACAGGGCAGCCTTGTGGCCAAGCTGGCCGCAGCGATAACAGAGGTCACTACGGTCAACCTAGGCGGTGCACTTCGCCCGGACGTGCCCTTTTTCCAGGCACCGAAAGCACTGCAAAGCCCGGGGCTGTAAAAGCTTGGTCCTTGCCGCCACTCAGCCTACCAGCAATCTGCCGCTATCGGCGATCTTCTTTGCCGACGCTACAGGGCACCGAACCCAGACCGCGCCGAGTCCGGTGGCGTCGGTGCGTATATCGCCAGCCCGCACCTTGTCCGGCGGACACTCTCCGCTTCTGGCAACGGCCGCCACCACCTCCTCTGAGGTCACGGAGTCGTCCAGGCCAGCAATCCGCACCTCTGCGGTTTTCATTGGTCTGGAGACCCGGACGTCCTCTGGGTTGAGGACCTCCCTCATCTTGGCGGCCAGTGCGTCCGCCTTTTCGGCACTGCCGCTCACAGTGCCAGCCACCTCGAACAGTCGTGCACCCGTGGCAGCCTGCCTGAGGGTGACGGACTGAAGGCCAAGATCAGATAATTTGATCTTGGCCTTGGCCTCGGCGATGACCGACTGGTACGTCACGCCACGCTCCACAGCTCCAGGCTGCAACGTTATTGTCACAGCGTTGGACCGCGGAACATGTACAGCCGGTCTCTTGCGACCGCCTTTGGCAGTCCGCTGTGCAGGTTTAGGAGCCGTCTTTGCGGTTCCCCCTGGGGCACATGCGGCTGCTGCGGCCTTCTTGGCGGCTTTGCGGGCCTTCTTGCGGCCCACGACTTTCGCCCAGGTCTCACCCTTAGACCCGGCAGTCGTGGGCTGGTTGCTCGGAGGAGCTCCCTCCGCGGGCTTTTTGTTACCCTCCGCGGGCTTCCCCTTTTGAGGCGCAAGTCTCGGCGGCTCCTCAGTCCTCCGCGTGTCAGCCGCTAAAGGCGGACGGAGGATTTCCACCGGGAGACGCCGAAAAATTGCCTCCAACCGAGCGTTAACCATGCTCCCGCACTGGAGCATGCAGAGCCGGACAATGCGCTCGACCTCTTCGTCGGTACGAGGGCTTGCCGGTCGCAGTGCGGGAGTCGGGTCCACTACAGGTGCGGCATCGCTGGACGTGCGTTGCTGCTGCTGCTTGCTTAGCGCAGCAACTTGTCGCCGGAGGTCCTCCAAGTCATTTCTGAGGCGGCTGTTTTCCTCCTGTAACTTTGCGACCTCGTCAGAGGCCGTCCTGTTGAGGAGGATGCCAACCGCCTCCCTGATATCCGCGGCAGCCTCCTTTAAGCCACGGGTGAACGTGCCCTTCAGGCTGCCGGACTTGGTGGCAACCTTCAGGACTAAGTCCACCCCATCCAGAGCCAGCTGGCTTAAGGCCACCGCAGATGGCTCACCCCCTTCCGCCGCAAGAGCAGCTCGTCGCTCGCGAGCACGTCGGGCCATTTCCGACACTTCGTCGGCCGCGACGGCTTTGCGCTGCTCCCTCTTGGCGGCATTGAGCTCCGCCTTTGAGCTCCCCAGCGAGGCACAGCTTTCACCGCCATCGCCAGGGTCCTCCGTAGTGAACCCCATGTCACTATCTGCTTCACTAGCCGCCGAGGTATTGGAGCACACGAACCGTCGTTGCTTATCCCTCCGCGGCTGCGAAGCACTCGCCCCTCTAGATGCCTGCCGACCCCTCCCCGAAGTTGGCAACTTGGGGGCCGGCAGACCTTCCTCGTCTGACGATCGGCACACTGGACGTTTCCTAGCGGAAGACGTCCCACGCGATCGATTTCCGCCGCTTCCAGTATCAGATCCTGCCTGATTTTCTACCTCTACTGATTTTTTTAGATATTTTTCTCTTTCCATTTTTTATCCCACGAGTGTGGAGGAAATAACAGTCCTTCCGAGCAGTGCCTCCTTTGCCCGGATAAGCCTATGCGTAACCCGTCAAGGGTGTCGGCCGGTACCCCGACGGGGGCAACGCTAACGACTGAACATTTACCCATCAGCCATGCAGCTCCTCACGGCGTGCCACGCTTGAGCTTCGGGTGATTTTTTAAAGAGGTTATCATCCTCGCGACTCCAGGCGGTTAAGCCAAGAGCCCTCGGCCCCTAAGGCGCCGCGAGACGTGATCCACGACACGCCAGAGGGATTCCGAGGTTCGAATGGTGGCAGAGTCGATACGGGTTCTTCTCATGCCTGCCCAGAGACCGGGTTAGGGAACACTGAGCCCATTCAGTTTCCTTTTTTTACAGGGTGTGGTCCCTGAAAATCCCGCGATTACGGGTTGCCCGGCGTCGGCAAAAGCCGAGTGCACCTGGCACCTCACCGCGCATGTCACATTCTCTGTTCCTCTCAAGGGAGAGGATACAGGAAGCAACTAATAGGCCCTCCACTATGCAAAAAAGCCCTCACCCAGCCAGTTTTGGTCCGCGACGGTTTCCCGCTACCACCCATATCTGAGTGGCGTTCCCTTATCCGCCACCTGGGGACACGCCCGATGGGAGCTCTGGCAACTCCACACGGGAAGTTGGACTTACCTAGTCGGACTATTTATCCCAGGTAAACATACTCGTCAACAACTTCGAGCTTAGTGCTCCCAACAACTACTGGCATAGGTGTGACATGGACATTAAACATGATCTTTGTTTTGTCCATGTTCATCTTAAGACCTATCCGTTGGGAAACACTATTGAGGTCATTGAGCATAGTGCTTAGGTCCTCCAGCGATTCTGCCATAAGGACTATATCGTCGGCAAATCGAAGGTTAGTGATGTACTCGCCATTGATGTTAATACCGTATCCTTTCCAGTCCAGAAGCTTGAAAACGTCTTCCGATGCAGCGGTGAAGAGTTTCGGGGATATAACGTCACCCTGTCTTACACCTCTCTGCAATTGGATAGGTTTCGTACTCTGGTTCTGTACTCGGATAGCCATCGTAGCCCTACTGTACAAACACTTCAGCACTTCGATATACCGACAGTCAACTTGGCATCTCTGAAGGGACTGCAGCACCGCCCAAATTTCGACGGAATCAAAGGCTTTCTCATAGTCCACATACGCCAGAAATAGTGGCAAATTGTACTCCTCGGACTTCTGTACAATTTGCCGAAGGGTATGTATGTGGCCTATGGTGCTAAAGCCCTTTCGGAAACCGGCTTGTTCGGGCGGCTGGAAGTCGTCAAGTCTGCGCGCGAGACAATTCGTAATGACTCTCGAAAACAGCACATAGAAGCGGCTCAGAAGGGAAATCGGTCTGTAGTTCTTCAAGAGAGCGTTGTCACCTTTCTTGAAGAACAAGACCACCGCACTTCTGCTCCACGCCTCCGGTGTAATGCCACCATTAAGGACGGAATTAAAGAGCTTCTGAAGGACTTCAAGTACCTGTTTTCCACCCGCTTTCAGAAGCTCCGCTGTAATTCCATCCTCGCCTGGAGCCTTGCCATTTTTAAGGTGCTGGAGAGCCATTCTAATCTCGCTCAGACTGACTTCCGAGATATCATCGGAATAGTGTCGGATAAGACTCGCTCTTGGATCGTTACTCACACTTACGTGTGGCTCCAACGATGATGTGTATAGCTGCCAATAGAACCTCTCAATCTCCCTCAAAATCTCAGGTGTCCCGGAAACGACGCTGCCAC